TCGTCTATCACCACTTGGGAGTCTCATTCCAAATGTCCTAGTGTAGCCCTGAATCAAGGGCTCCCCAAATTTGTTTCCATAGTCCGATGCACCATTGCTAGCATCTATGAGTATCTGCAGAGGTGAAGCCAAATTTGATGGATATGTAAAAGATGGATCTTCCCAAGGTGCATAAGAGCCCTCCATATTGAGATTCCCAACACAATAACCAGCTGTAGATGCTACAACAAAAGACCCTCTTCCAGTTGCATGGGTATCCCTAATTCGACCCCCTGCACCTGTCTCTGCACCAGGGTAAGGGGCTACAGCACATGGAAAATTATGTGTCTCGGCAGTAAATAAAATATCAAGGTCCCGAGTAGCTATGTTCAACGGACATGTTGAACCTGGCTGAACTGGTCGCATTTGTTTCACCAGAAAGCCCTTGATTGCACTTGAGTTATCCTTGAACCCAATCACAGAATTGTTTGGGTTTGCCTGCAAAGTGCTCTTCACAATCTGCATTAGAGTTCTATCCATAGGTTGTCCATCTATAAGAATTTTACCAGTAAAAAACCAGTGCCTGCTATGCTCGCTGTTGGATTGTGCAATATCAAACAGTTCAACTGTTGTTGGATTCCGCTTGATTTCGTCCCTGAATAGCCTAGTGTAGTATTGGAGATCTTGCTCATCAAATGCTAAACCCATTTCCTGATTTATCTCCTCCAATGCCTTCCGACCTCTCTCCATGACAGGTACATGACGAACTTCGTCCAAAACTACACTCGTTTCAAATGAAACAAGCTTCTGAGTATACACACACTCAGTCATCCGATCATGAACCATTGCAGCAAACTCACTAATTTGATGATCTTGTAGTGTTCCCTTACTGAACAACAAGTACCTCCTTGACCGTTCCAAACGAGTCACCTCTGTCAATCCACATGCTCGACAAATTGAGACAGCATTGGAAGACCAGGCTGTTGTAAATGACAACCGAGGCCCAACCTCAACAATGACTGTATTCAGTCCTTCCTGCCTTTTCTTTTCAAGAAAGCTCTCAGTCCCCAAATTCTCGGGCTCAAAAGTCTCCTGAAGAAGCCACTTAAGAACCGGAAGCTTGTCACTAGAAAGCTGTGAATCGAGCCCAATGTTGAAACACTGCTCAGTTTTCAAACCAACTATCTGATTTGAAATTTTTGTCTGAACTGTCTTGAGAAGCTCAGATGAAGCACTCTCCTGCATAAGCGGGACCCGATAAAAATTAATAACTTCCGCAGCAGGCTTCTCAACCAAGTTTGATTGCTCATCTACCAAACTGCTCACACCACCAGAAACAACAGCTCTGGGCTTTTCTTGAGCACGACACCTCAATGAAACACCTCTCCTATTAGCAAAACCCAATTCTGAACTTCGACCGTGAACCGCCCCCCAAAGCACATGGCTTCTTCCTCTAAAAGAATTTCTATGCAAACACAGGCTCTGCCTATTGGTACCCTGGAAAGAAAACAACCCCCCAAAAAAAAAAACAATGTTACATTTCAATCAAGCATTTTTAATAAACTTCTGCCATTTCTTAATAATCAAACAAGAGGCAATGAAGATAATTACTTGTAAGAATTCAGCAGCAGCCGTTATTTCCCGAACACCGGCCATCTCCTAAACCTTTAAGAAACCAAAAGGAATAAAGAAAAAAATAACTCAAACAAATAGATGTCAGAAATTGTTTTCCACTGAAACAAACAGAAGCAGAGCAAAAACTCACCTTCAATTTGATTACTGAGCAGCCGGGTGTGGAAGTCGACAAATATAAGAAGGCAACAACGCGGTGTACGTTATGGTTGTCAGCCAATTACTGGCCTGCCATGGTTGAGCCTTGAAGTAGGGTTTTGGGATGAAGTAAAACCCTGAAGAGAAGAACCCGCAGCAGAGAAAATATGAAAAACCCAAAAATCAAAATAAAAAAAAGATTGAAATTCGAAGAAGAGAATAAACGCGGAAAAAATTTGGGAAAGAATTTGTTTACCTTGGTGATGAAATGGCGAGAGTCGGAGGAAATAGAAATGAAAAAGGGAAAAGAATTTGGGAAGATTGGGAAGAAGGTGGCGCGATGGAGACTGGAGTTGAGTGGTGAGTGAGAGAGAGAGACCCTAAGGCTGGAGGGAAATTTTGGTAAAAGACGAGGCTGTGTTAATGAGACGGTGCGTTTTGGGTTGTATGATGGTTTTCTTACGATGAGCACTGTTTTTTTTATTTAGAAAGAAGAAAATAAAAAGGTAATAAAATATGTGTTTTTATGAATATCCCAGCAAAAAATGAAAATAAAAAATTTGCTTTCGTGAAAAACCTTTCTGGTTTAAAAAGTCTACAATCAGCCACTGATGTTTTGCATTAGGCTGTTTAAAGGGTGGGACGTACTACATTTACCTTTTAAAATAAGCGATATTTGTGCAGGGAGGAATAGAACCTAAGACCTCGGATGCAAGGTAAATTCTCTAATCACTTCAGCTACAAGCCTCTATAGACGTACTACAATAATGAACTTCTAATATTGTTCCAAAATTTAATGTAATAATACAAAATAATAAGGACTATTTTAAACAAGAAGCTGAAAGGAACTGATATAGCACCATAATTTATACAGTATGACAAGTGTACATAAATAAGTTTGCACAAATTGCACATAAAAACTTGGATAGTTTTTAGTGAGATTGAATCATGATGGGATTCCAAACATCAAACAGATTGATACATCATACATATTTGTGTAATTATGCAGATACAATGCAAAACAGATCCCCCAGTCTTCTGTCCTTCAATAGTTTGTGGTACCAGACCACATCTGCAGCAATATAAGCTTCGCCATCGACATACAATTTTGTTGTTGACATTTGTAAGTATCTTCAGGTCCAGTACTTTTCAATTTCCAACACTATTCTTCAGAGGATCCTCCCAGAAATCACAACGCACCTGCTCACAAAGTTATCAGTTTCATATTCCAATGTAATTTCTGATATGCCCATCATTAGTCCATTTTTTCCACCTTTCAACTAAAAATGTTTCAAAATTATTATTATGGTGAGTATGATGATTTATCTGACCAAATTCGATCTTTCCAAAGTTCAACAAGCCTCTTCTCAAACTCAGAGTCAGACCGGTTTTTAAACAATACCGGACTAGAAGAGCGGAGGAAGACGAAGCGCATTTCAGAGTCCAGCCAGAGACAGGCCAACTCTCGAGAAACTGGGTTGAGATATGAAACCAACCAAACAAAATACAAATGCAAAAACAAGAGACAAAACCAGCAAATAAAGTAAGATCATTGCCAATAGGGTCTAGCATAGTGAAAAAGAGCATCACATGTAGTTGCATATTAGTGGTCTCAAGTTCGAACTCACATCCGCATGTGTGTGTGATAAAACACCCTCTTCTTATAGTTTAGACTAAAGTACTCATTATATTTAATGTCGGTACTTTTTCCTCTGTACAAATTTTTTTCAGAACACTAACCCAAGCATGGCATTGGCAACGGAAACATTGTGGATGCCTACAGCACAGCACCCATGCCGTTCAAATATGACTCATCACTCTCCACCTTGCAAGCTGATCAGGAGCTTCACTTTCTTGTATTGCAAGGAGCCGACGGTCTGTCTTCTTTAAATCTTCATGTCCCATAATAAAATTTAAAATCACCAAATGTATTTCAATTTCAGTATATCCAAAAATGTAACATGGCCCGATTGGGTAATTGGAAAAATTGTGTCCCTGACTGCCATGTATTCAAAAATCTTCGAAAGTTCATCGAGGCACCAACGCGAACAAGCAAACGAAATGGCTGCAAATCTTACAAATAATATAACTGAAGTCGTGTACACTAACCTGCGATAAAGCCTTATATTAAACAAAAATAATTTTGTGCTGGGAATTCTCATGGTTTATTGTCATGGTTTACAATTTGCTTGGAACTTTGTCAGCAATTCCATTAAGATTGAAAATGAATCTGATTTTGTGGCCCAAGTTAATAATGGCTGGTTAGTTTTCTGGCATTGGGCATTTGGGCCCAAATATACGAAAATGAAAAATCAGTAAACTTGAATAGAAATGGCTCCCCTTCCTTCCTACCATTCTAATTCCCATTTCAGGAAAATAAACATGCCATAACATAATCTACTTGCTTATTTGCATGTTTGCTGCAGCGAATGCACAAATATCTCTAATTCCGCTGTGTGTGGCTGTGGAGCAAATAAATTTGGCAATGGAATCTCCAATTTGCATCTACATGCTTGTATGCATCACAGTAATCACAATGGCTCTCTTTGTCATTTATCATCTCTTCACTAAGAACTGAAATAGAAAGTTCATTTGTATATCTAAGCTGAGACACCAGGAACCAAAAAAGTTATGTTGACAAGTCTCAATTCTCATGCTGAAGTGAGTTTTGGGGTAGGATGAAGAGAAATGCTCATATAAACAATAAAGATTTCATACCAGATTGTCATGGGGGCCTTTGACTTATGCCTTCAAGGCAACAATTTGCGGTCTAACAGTGAACAAAGTTTGTAGTATAATAAACCAATCAAAAACACCCAAGCTTCCATTGCAGCAAGAAGCATTCAGAATAAAGTCCTGCAAAACTTTATAGCTCCTTTGTATTATGACTTGCATCAGAAATTCAAGATACAGACAGACCCATCATCCAGAATCAGGCTACTAAAAGTTTTTCGTGCCTTCAAGTATACGGTTTAGAATGCAAAAAAACAGTTAATTTTACCACCATTTTCACTGTGGATGGTGAAATTGTACCTTGGAATGCTATGTTAAACACAATTTGGTAACTCACTTCTCCATTTTCCCTCCAATAAGGTGCTTCTTATTGATTGTGCCTTCAATCCTACAGCATGATAATCATTTTCCCTCTCTTTCTTGCTAGGAAAAAAGAAAAGGAGTTGTAGCAACACAGATGAATATTGCACTGTAAACTAACACTACTTTATGTGACAGAAACCTGCATCTCATGAATATACAAAGTAATTTAAGTAAGCATATTACTAGGCATTACCTTTATTATTCTGGGAAAGAAGGAAAATATTACATCATAAGGTATTGAAATTTGAAATGGTTTCTACTTCTAGTCTTCTTTTCATTACTCTTAGGCAATTAAATTATACCAACAAAAAATTCCAACAAAAATTGAAAAGAGTGCGATTAAAGAGAAGATTTCACCAAAATTAAACCATGAAATCAAGTGGAGGAAGCAACATCAACATCAACACCCAATTCTTGCATTTGCAGCTCCTTCCTCTTAATATACTGATTCAAAATGGCAAGCCTGGCAGTCTCGAACGCAAAGTAACCCAAAGCAGAAAAGCAAGCGCTGTGAAGAACTCTAGGCCCAACTCCTCTCGTCAACCCCACCCACCCTTCCTCCATTAAAATCTGCTTCACCGTCCCCGAAACCCCACTCTTTGCAGCACCAGTCATCAGCCTCGTCTTCACCACATCAAGCGGCGTCGTAATGGAGGCCGATATTGCACCGGCCAATGCCCCACAGATCACGCTCTGTATCGGCTCCATATGGGTTTGCTTCGTCTTGCTCAGAACCGCAGATTTCAAATACTCGAACGAAGAATAGCTCAAGACACCCGCAGGCAAGTTCCTCAGTAATGTCGCAGAGTACCCTGCGTACAGACCCAAGACGCCGTCTTTTTCCAGGATCTTCAACAGCACCTGCCACGACCTCCCTTTGGCCCCGGCTTGCATTCGCTGCGTGATGAGCTCCTTCGGGACCATAATCGCGGAAGAGACAATATTGCCCATGGCTCCGGCCGTGGGAGGGATAAGAACGGGAGGGTAGTTGGGTAATTTGGAGAGCACCGACTTACCCAGCTCGCAGGTGCCGAAGTAGATGGCGGAGGAGCCGGTGGAGCCGACGATGACGGCGGAGATGCCGCTGTAAAATCCCGAGATGCCCTTGGTCTGGAAGGTCTTGAGGACTGCGTCGAAGGCGTTTGCGTAAATGTCTGAGGCGCCTTTGGTCTGGAGCTTCGTCTTGATGGTGTCCAGAGGGTGGAGGCAGAAGTAGGTGAAGGCTCCGGCGATGCCTCCGCCGCCTGCGCCGATAAGGGCGCGCTCGAACACCGTGAGGTTCTTCAGTCGATTGGGTGAGGGGAGGCCCAGAGAAGCTGAGAGTCTGTTCTCCATGGCTGGCTCACTCAATTCTCTCTCTCTGGAGGCGAGTTTTATTCGCTATTCAGAATTTCAGATGAGAGAAAGAGAGAGAGCGAGCGCCATGGAAAATGAGACTAGGTGGATGTCGATTTGGCTGAACAAAGTGAGTACTGTATGTGGAAATTGGAAGTTGGGTGAGTTTTGGGCTAAAACCCAATTACCTTATCAGACCAATTTTTTATGGGCCTTTTTCTGTTTGTTGGGTCAAACTCTTCTAATTTTGTGACATTTTTTAATCGATGTTAAATTTTTACCTCTCTATATTAAATTTTTTATTTTTTTTAAGAGCTTTCATAATATGTGACAAAATCTATTGCATAGTTCTTCAATGTGACAAATGTTTCTACCTCATATTAATTTTTCGAGTTGGAATCCTAACAAAATTAAAATAAAATAACGTTTGATATAGAATCTCTTCAATTGGTGTTCTAGCGGAGAATCGAAAACGGCATTTTCTTGTTTCATTGTGAAAGCATTATTGTATTACAGTCCTGAATGAGGATGGCTTGTAAGATGATATCTTGGTCTTCAAAAGTCGCTTATTGGCGCCAAAGGGGTGAAAAGGCCTTGAGCACGGTAGCTTGCTTTTGTAGGCTCAAAAATAGACTAGTCCCTTGGGTTTTAGGGTATGGAGGAAGCATCGGCCTCACAATGATTTATGAAATTGTCATGTAGACCTATGAATGGCTGTTGTGATTCTGGGTTTCAACAGTTGTGAATTGTGTTCTTTCTTTCTTTTTCCGCTTTAACATGGATGGCTGTTGTGATTCTGTGAACTTTTTTTTCTTATTTTCTTTTTCTCTCTAAATCGTAAAGCCTTAATCATGCCACAATAGGTGAGAGATGCCGGCAAAAAATATGTATTGAGATTGTCAAAAGAATATTTACAAGGATTTCTTATTTCCTACCACTCTTTATAGTTTATACAGGGGAATTGTAGAAAGAACACATACTGAGATTGTAGTATGTTTTTCATTTCACTTCAAACTTGCACTAAAAAGAACAGAACTGATTCCTGAAGCTAGTTCTGGTTCTGCATCCTATACCTTTTCTTTTTCTCTCTAAATCGTAAAGCCTTATCATGCCACAATAGGTGAGAGATGCTGGCAAAAATTATGTACTGAGATTGTCAAAAGAATATGTACAAGGATTTCTTATTTCCTACCACTCTTTATAGTTTATACAGGGGAATTTTAGAAAGAACATGTACTGAGATTGTCATGTGTTTTTCATTTCACTTCAAACTTGCGCTAAAAAGAACAGAACTGATTCCTGAAGCTAGTTCTGGTTCTGCATCCTATACAGTTTTGGTTCCATGAATCTCCATCTCATGTAATTACTCCTCATGCATGCTCTTGATCAACGGATACGATTCAAATGGGCAAAAGGCTCCGGATTAGCTTTGGGAGCTGATTTAGCCACCTCAGGGACCCCGAAAACATTCCAGAATCTCAGCGTTTCATCACCAGCTGCTGATGCTACTGTGCAACCATCTGGACTCTGGATAATTTACAACATAAAAAGATTTATCTTTCTGTCCAACAGAAAACATGATTCATAATAAATTCATTCACAAGGTTTTTGATAGCTAATTCACTACCTGAGCCATATAAAGAACTCTAGAAGTATGGCCAGTGAGTTCTGCAACTTTAGCCATTGATGGGTATTTCCAAAGAGTAAGCTGATTCTGAGTAAACCCATGTGAGCTAAGCAGTTCTCGTTCATTCTTGTTCCACAGCAAAGCACAAACCTGAGAGCCAGTGTCAACCGAATTCAGGCATGCACCCGTGTGAGTGTTCCAGAACTTTATGCACCGATCACCCCCGCCTCCACCAGAAGCCAGCAAGTTGCCCTGGAAAGGACACCAAGCAAGGGCTTTTACAGCAGCTGTATGGTCTTCAAGCCTGTGAAGCCACTGTGTTGGTGAATTTGAAGATGCCACTGATCTGTCCCATATATGGAGTAGGTTATCATTTCCTCCACTTGCTAATTGTTGGCGCAAGTTGTTGTTAGTATGAAAATTGTGTTGTCATTTCCTAGACTCTAGCATAGGTTGGGAATTAGTGTATGAATGTTGTTAGTCAAGATATAAACAAGACATAGACAGCTTTCCTAAAACAAGGAAAAGCTTGTCTATCACATTTCCACTTTTCCATGTTTATAGAAACACGTCCAAAGTAGCTAATTAGAACACAACTACTTTGAAATAACAAGTTAAGTGGAAGCAAATATTAATTCATCCATGAGATCATACGCACTTGAGGAATGTGTCTCCGCAGCTTTGCTGGTTTATCCTGTGGTAAAGAAGAGAACTCGCGCGGGAAGAGCTCTACAGGGGCAGGAGGCTTGTTCTTGAAAGCAAGTATTCGAGTCCGATTCATGTTCATTGCTTCTGCCAACTGCTTCCGATAGGCGTCTTTGGATGGGGAAGAGACCATAGCTGGGTTTTCCTTACCTTTCCTACCTTCAGTAAGCATGTAGTGCGCATAATCAAAATCCATCGCCGACCTATTTGGTATGAACCTGTCCAACTGGTAGCACATGACACAAGCACATCAGAATATCAGTCAACTACCCCTTTTCAAATTTAATTTATGATCAGATCAGAGCTAAAAATAGATGAACACATACGTACATATAAAAGGGAAACAAGATTAAGAAATGAAATTCAATTTAACATCAGATCATAGATGAACCCAAAACCCTATACATACATTACGTTTACAAGGGTAACAAGATTAAGAAATGAAAGTCCAATGAATAACAAAAATCCAATTCAGAGTCAAACAGAAGCCCTAATTTCATTAATCAAATTCAATTTAACATCAGATCACAAAATAGATGAACCCTAAACCCTAAACATACAATACAAACTACAAGGGTAACAAGATTCAGAAATGAAAACCAATCAATAACGAAAGTCCAATTTTTCAGCAATCAAATAGATTGAACCCTAATAAAGATCAATTTGGTAAAAAAAGGAAAAAAAACTTACATTTTCCCGAGAATTCCTTTTCTGAAGAAACTGTTCTTGAAGAGGGCACCGAGACCCTGACTTCAAGTTAGATGAAGAACTCGTTGATCCTGCATCCATTATCTTTAATACCAACAGAATATATGTATGTATTGTATATCAATGAAAAATGAAAACAGTAAGAAAGAAGAAACAGAGAAAGAAAATATCAAATTCTTGCAAATGGATTAATCAGTGTGCAAAACCAAAACCTGCAAAAGAGAGTTAGAATCAAGAAACACAAAACCAAGTTATATATGAATTACGCAAAGAAAGAAAATTGGTCTCGGAGCGTTGTAAAGAGTTGTGTAATCAGAGAGAGAGATAGAGAGAGAGAGAGACTGTGAGTGGGTATAATCAAGTTGAATTTGTGGGTTTATATAATGATGAGATGAAGATGGGATGATTAGGGTTTTCAGAATGAATATTTCGGATTTGGGAAGACCTCCAACGGCTATATTACATAGATTAGAGATAGAGCCGTCGTAATTTTATGTGACAAAAATGCCCCTCCATTGGTTTAGGTGTAATCGGACATGGGATTGGGCTATCTGTTGGGCCTATTTTGGTGATGTTCAGGCCCTTTTTTGTTTTTTGGGCTGAAGCTCTAAATTACAACACGATTTTTCTTTGTTTGAAATTAATACATGACTTTTAATTTCAATGAGAAAATTCAAATGTATGTTAATTATATATTTTAATTTTAATTTCTTAAATGTGGCCTTTTTTTTTTTTAAATACAAGCGATTCAACATGAACATGCTCAATCAATCTTCATTGGATTGGAAATGAATCGATGGAACAAAATTTGGGTGGCAAAAAGTTTTTGGGAGGCACAAAACTTGTGCTTGCGGCGGCAGATAGTGTGGGATATGCTGCCATTGAAGGTAGGTTACAGAATATACCTGATTTGAAATCAATATGCGGTTTGAAAAAAATCATTGTATAGTACTGAAATAGAATCACGTGATATAATTTGTTCAAAGAATCAAATCATCCCAGGGACCAGAGTAGGTGCTAGCATTTGTTACTTCACGGGTTCTTCACAGACAGTGTGTTGTGTCAAAGGCTGCATTGCCCTAGCTATATCTAGCAACTGTTTAGCTGTTGGGTGGGGTCCTTCCTTTGATCTGCAACTCAGGCTTTCCTCAGATGCAAAGCTAAAGCATTATCATTTCATATGCACACACACACAAAAATTCATCAATTTATTTTATACATTCATTTTGGAAAATACGATGATTAATATGTATGATTAATGGTTATGGGCAAGTTGATGAATAATTTGATCAATATCTCTCTATTAAATTTCTCTGTTTCATATATACTGATCTTTTTGTCTTGGTATTGTCTTTTTTATATATATAATTAATTTATCTTTCTCTCAACCATGAAAACTGTTGTGCTTGTCCCTTCTTCAATTTGTTTTCAGGCAGTACATTTCTTTCACTTTGAATAAAGATAATTCAAATTAAAGCACAACCTTAAAAGCATCAATTTACTTAACATACAGAAAATTGGAAGCATCACCTTCAGGCATCATCCCAAATTAGGAATAACATCATGTACCACTCAAAGTGGAGAGAATCAAGTAATTAAAAGTAGGGAATTATTCTAATTTCTATTTTTTCTATGTTTACTAACACACGGATATTAAAATTATTCCAATTCTAAATTTATGTTTGTTTACGTAAGAAATATTTTTTTTATAAAAAAATTCATGTTAAAATCTGTAATCATACGGTCAAAACAAAGAATCAGATCAACTAATGGGGAGTACGTAGTTGATTTAATTCAAATTGCTTAATTCCCTGATTCCTTAAATACAAGTGAGAGTCTAAACTACAAGGAGAGGATGATTTCTCACACACACTACCAAGGTGATATAGGGGTTCGAACTTAAGACCACTAGTCTGAAAGTCAAGACCTTTTTTCACTAGGTTAGATACAGTTGACAATTTCTCTATTCTTATATTCCTCGATTCATGACTTTCCTCATTTTTAATAAGCAAGCATGCTATAAGTATTCACCAGAAGTTTATGATAATTAGCTCCAAATATGAAACAAACTGCAAAATAACATTCCATCGAATTTTCACTTCCAATATAAGGATTTGGTAAACCATGTTCCTCCAAAGTGCAATAAAATCTCAATCCACTTCAATATATATCCAAACAAAAAGGGAAGTTGATGTCAGGAATGATGCAGACACATCACCACTTTTGAGACCTTTCAAAGTGCATCCACTTCCACTTGGATGCACACAAATACAACATTATAATGCGTTTCTGGGATTTTAATCTACGACTTATGGAAATGAATTTTGCAGGAACCTTGCAATGCTTTACACGTAATTTTGTGTCCCTAGCTAGCTCTGTGTTACCTTGTAGCTTTCATTGTAAAAGAGAAAAGAGAACTGACAAGAAAAAGAAAAGAAAAAAGCATTTTTGTGTGCAGGAGATTCTCCAATTTTCAGAGTCATGTTTTCTAGTTCCTAAACATATATAAAGATGCAAGTAACCTCATTGAAAGTCTTCCTTCTTCAATCCAATTTTGACATTAAAAAACAAAACAAAAAACAAAAGTTATAAGAGTATTTTTCTTCATAATGTCGGAAGATACTCTCGAGGGTTTAGGGTTTGGAGTTTAGGTAGTAATTTTCTTCTATGTAAACCAAATTAATCTAGTAGTAATTTTCCATTTTTCGTTAATAAACGGTAATTTATCCTACTAGGTCCCCAAAGGAAAGGAAAATAAAATAACATATGATTTCTTTTGTATTTCAATGAAAAGAAGAATAAACTCAATAAGTTAAAAGAAATAGTGACAATTACAGTTAGTTGTATCAATCACAAACTGTCGTGGGGTATTCCAAAATGAGAAGAGATGATGTTTCTAAAGATAAAGAATCACAAAGAGAATCGAAAAGTGGGTTGGCAAACAATATACCAACAACTTGGCATCTATGCGTCCTAACGGTTATGCTTATTGTCATTCATTACAAGGAAGTGAGTAGGCACCACATCACAAGAAATTAAGGGCACAACCGCAGCATTTATATGGTAATGATAGTGACAAAATGGATGGGAACACTTTTTTTTTTTCTTTTCATTTTAGAAAAATGCAATTTTTTATTCAACACGAAAAAATAAAAAATAAAAAAAGGACGATTCTCACTCTAAAACTATCAATAGCCAACGATAACCTATAAGCGACTCCATTACACAATCTCGAAATCATTTCAATTAGTAAGCCTACTGGATATGTTTATAATAGAATTGAACCCACTTGTCTAAGTAAGCTCATGCTCTCTTAGAGATAACAATTAGTTTATAGCTCAAATGATTAAGAGCAGTTACTTATGCATTCGAGATCACGTGGTCAAATCCCTTCTCCATTACCACTTGTATAATTTTATTTTATTTTAAGGAAAGGTGTACTACTCAATTTATGCATGGTCGATCCCTCAACTGAAGAGTTCTTTTTCACTTTAATTTATTTTTTTAATTTGGCACATAGACAAACAAAAAATACAACTGTTTTAGTACAACTCAATAAAAGCACAAGTATTCCTTTGTTATATAAAAGAAATGGTCCCCATATGTAAAGCAAGAGGCCGACCATTCCAAGTAGGTTTTGTGGTTGTGTCAAATCAAAAAAAAAAGAAAAGGACCCAACTTTACAATTTTGGCTTCTTGTCCGCAAAGCAAGCCTTTGGAAGCCTCTCCTCCTCCTACCTCTCTCTCTCTCTCTCTCTCTCTCTCTCTCTCTCTCTCATGAATATTTTGCTGTACTTACTAGCACCACTTACTTTAATCAATTTCCCAATTATTATTTTGCAACACCAACCAAATACCAAATAGGCGGCCTTCAAGCTGGTTACCCTTAATCATTTTATTTTAATAATTATAGTGGCATTATTAGTTACCCACTTCCATTTTCCATTATATAAATAAAGTACCCCTACCTTTTAGCTTTTGGGATTAACAACAAAAGTGAATTAGTGATCCTAAAATCCCTGTTTAGATTAAGATCACTTTCCCTTTATTTGATTCAAACTTGCCATATTCTAAGTTTATTTTGAACTAGAATTATTGTTGGTTGGACACCAAGATTTGGTGGGGTGTGCTTATATGATCAAACACTTGTTCAACTCCATTTTGTTTTTAAAACAGATTAAATAATTTAGTTAGGCAAAAGAACCAACTTTTCTGAATATCATGGAGGCTGTCATGTTAGCCCTAGCATGGGAACATTCCCCCTCAAAAAAGAAAAGACATTGCCAGCTGCTACCATTCATAGTTAACAAAAAAACAAAGAAAAACGAAGTTAGAGTTTAGGAATATTTTTGAAATATGAGGTGCTATTTGTAGTATGAGATTTTTTTTGTTTTAATTATTGAGGTGGGTACACATATATGTACACTATAATGTACAAGAGTTTAACTCACAAATGATTAATACAAAGATGGTAACTACGCAAGGTTAATCCAGATACATAGAAATACACTGACAACATCAAGCGTACAATCTTCACTAGCGACACAATGTCAAAGAAATTTCGGCATAAAAGCTTCAAGCTTGAAACTACAAATAGAGACTAGATTACAAGCAAACACCCAACTCACAAAGAATTGGATGCAATTATTATTATAAATATTCTAATTTGTATATGTCAAATTCATTATTAATATATAAAAATATCAATCATTGCTAGGAAATTCTACTAAGAACAGTGGAGGGTTTTTTTTATGTTCTCCAATAACAGTACTTTCTCTAAGTACATTTTGTTCATCGAGGTAGCCACTGCTAGCTTCATGCTTAGAACAATTTATTTATTTATTTACTTAATTTTTAATTGGCAGAAGCAACTCAAAGTTTATATGACAGAAAAATGGTTCTGTTTTGTATATATTTTTTAGGTCATATCATATAAAACATAGAGTGGTGTCGCAATTTTTTTTTTATTAGGTTAATAATTTATTTATGATTAAAAATTAGGAGATTGCTTTCCCACGACATGCATGGAGAAAGATATTAGAATTTTAGTAAAATAATTATATTGTTATTAATTAAATATAAATATGCATGACCAAACAAATTCGTTTTCTTTTATTTTCTTTTTGTTTATGCATCTTTCTAATTTGTTTTCTTGTTTTTTGTATAAAAAAAAAAATCTCTTTTTCTTCATTGAAAGTCAACAACCATAAGGAAAGAAGAGCTAAGAAATAATCAAAAACCAAAATTCGGCACATTATTTTTATTATTTTTTATGTTTTGGATAATGAAGGAAGCCTTAGTTGACCGATTCTCTAACCAAGCACAAAGTCTCAAGGCCTAGACTATAAACTCCACATCCATGCAATCCATCTAGAAACTATAAGAAAAATCAAGGCAAGAAATTCAGCAATAGCAGTCAAAAGTGGGGGCAATTACAAAATTTCTACAAA